GGAGAAAGCCATTGGTAGAGCCAGCCCTGGGGGCGGGATTTGGGGAAAGGGCGGGTCATGAGGGGAAGGAGGAGAAAGCCATTGGTAGAGCCAGCCCTGGGGGCGGGATTTGGGGAAAGGGCGGGTCATGAGGGGAAGGAGGAGAAAGCCATTGGTAGAGCCAGCCCTGGGGGCGGGATTTGGGCCTCGGCTCTGTAATCATTTTTAATGCGTCTTTTAATTTAACTTCTATCAAATTAAGCCAGTCGACCGAGAACTGGGACGTTTGCTGAGCTGCAGTGTTTATTAAAACTGACATTATTCAAACAAATGTAGGTTAAACAGAGCAGCTTCAAATAATAATAACAAAAAAGGAAATACCAACGAGGAATAAGGGGAACTTTACAGTCTATGTTAAGAAAAGGGTCTTACAGTCATTTTAAAAATAATATAATGATAAACTGTGAAGGATGCAGAGATCTGGGTGAGCCTGGGACTGCAGGAAGGGTTGTGGGTGGAGCTGGGCTCTGGGGGCGTGTCATTCAGTAGGGGGTGGGGTCAGGGCAGTGCCCTAATGAGACCTGGCTTGGGGTGTTTGGCAAAATTTGAGCTGATTGCTGGGTGGATGTGTGTCAGAGAAGTGGGTCAGGGATCGAGGCTGAATAAAACCGTGTTTCATCTCCTGAGGCTGGTGAGGACATCGAGAACCCTCCAGGTCCCCTCCAGGTCCCCTCCCCCGGCACTGGGCTCTAAAGAGCCAGCAAAGCATCCATGTTTAAAGCCCACCCTCCAGGTGCCGTGCCGGCGCTCCGCAGATTGACCCTCGGGGTTCTGGTGTGTGGGCTGCAGGGACGCCTGCTTGGTGAATCTTTTGGGGTTGGGTCTGGATTATGTTGTGTTTCGGTCTGGACGCAGACCATAGTCCACCAATTTGAGTACCTCTGATCTATATGATGCACAATACTACCCAGGTGTGATAAACACAGTGGAACTCGAACGCATCTAAATCTCATCCCTCATTTTGGGTTTACATGATTATATGGGGAGAGTATAAAACTTTGAGAAGGCTCTGTTTGACCAGAATGGATTCATTGGTAGTTGCCTATTAGCCTCCAGCCACTAGGGGTGCTGCCTCCCATATCAGTCACCTTTTGCAAGTCATCTCTCCATCTCTTGTGAATGTTATGCAACAGTGGAGCACTGGTCTGAATTGGAGAGACAGTTGCAGAAGATTAAAAATCATCAAGGGCGAAGCATCCCCTGCTCTGCTCTTAGTCTTTTGTCTTCTTCTATCTTTTTCCAGCTTCTCCCTCCTCTCCAAGCACCTCCCCCCCACATATTTTTGTCCAGCTGACCGGACACCCTTGGGCTCTGTATCGGCCGCCCTGACTCCCTTTGGCTCTGTATCGGTCGCCCTGACTCCCTTTGGCTCTGTATCGGCTGCCCTGACTCCCTTTGGCTCTGTATCGGTCGCCCTGACTCCCTTTGGCTCTGTATCGGCTGCCCTGACTCCCTTTGGCTCTG